GGCACGCCCCCCCCCCCCCCCCCCCAACACACACGAGTTTGTACCGGGGGGGTTGTAGCCAGGCGCGTCCGTACACGTGTGTTCGCAACACCGCCGCTTCCCTCCCGCTGTCCTTCATCGTGCCTTGTGGTTAATGTCCCCCTCCTTGGCTTCGACGAAACGAAACATAGTTTCGACGAAACGACAAATTATGTAGACGAAACGATACATTATGCCAACGAAACGCAACTTCTGTTTTTTTTTTTGCGTTTTTCAGTTCCCCGGGGTGGGCGGCTGGCTACCGACAGCGGCGGGGTTGGGTCTGATTCCCTTCATCGTGGCACCTCTCGACAACCTAGTGGAGGAGGTGAGAAAGCCGTATATTCCGCGGAGCCCCCTCTTTCTTTTTTTTTTTCGTCCCTTGGGTTGATCCAGTTCACTTGACAAGACCAATGATGCCCCATGCATGTAAATCTTCGCCACCCACCTGTCTTGTTTCACGTTCCATGTGTTGACGCGCAGGAAAATGTTGTACGCTATGCATATAGCCCCGAGAGTGCTGTGTGCGTCTCAAGTACGCCGCTTGGCATGAGATGCGTTTCCACTAACAACAATAGCTTCTCGGCCCTAGCGTCGTGTTGAAACAGCCGCATTTCCACTAGCCTTTCACCACCGGCCTTACGTTTTTGTTACCCTTGCTTTCTCTTCTTTTTTTTAGGTTCTGGACAAGACCATCCGGCCCGTCCTCTTGGACAAGTTCCCAACGTGCGAACTCGAGCCCATCTTCGGCGCGGAACCCCTACCGTGATCTGCAATCTGCGGTGCCCCCCCCCTTCACTTAGAAGTGTGAAAGGACGAGGAAGGAGGGTTTCGGGGAGGAAGGGTCCTTGGTGTTAGCAACCACCAGACACAGCAGTAGTGGTGTAGTAGTGGAAGTGCTGGGTTCGAGGATTATTAGGATTGGCAATATCTCTTTTTTTTCGTTCTCGTCCGGAAAGAGTTCCGGTTATTTCCCAAAGAATTTCCCGTAAGGTCCCGAAGAATTTCCGGTAAGATCCGGATGAAGTTCCGGTATGGAGTCCTGGAAAGATCAGGAAGGAATTCCGGGAACATCCGGATTGAATTTCGGTAATATCGGGAAGGAGTGCCGGTAAGATCCAGAAGGATTTCCACTAGGATCCGGGAGGAATTGCGGTAAGATCCGGAAGGTGTGCCGGTAAAATACGCCTCTTGCCAGGGCATGATTGCAACGTTCGGCGTGTGGAAACCTCGCCCACGGCACGTGTGTGTGCACTGGTAGCTTTTTATTTTCGTTTTAGCCTGCGTCGCAACAAGAATCCGTTGTGGTTTGAACACTTGCTTGTCCCAGGGAACTAAACTGCATGCGGTGTTTAGTTGAGCATACATCGGAACGGAACAGCTTCCATAGCAGCTTTGGTCTGGTTCTCAAAGCGCGCTGGTCTCTTCAGTCTTTTTAGGAATGGATTCCAAGGGAGTTTGTCATCTCGTCATCAACATGTCGATGTTTCTAGAGTTTTGGTGTGTGGCCGGCCGGGTTCTTCCACGGGATAGGAGCGTGATATGGTTGCGTCGCCGTGTTTGCTGCGTGAAAGGCGGGCTGCTTCTGGTGAGGGCAGAACACTGGTTGGGTTTTCGGCCCGGCCGAACGCGTTATACGTTTCGGCCGCCTTTTGTTTTTGTTGTCACGACCGGTTGATGGATGCCACGCACCTGAACCTGAGTATATGTATGGGTTTTTGAAAACCTTACTTAGTAGAGATTAGTTGTCCCGCCTGAGGCGAAGCGGATTATTCCCGTCGATGGCGGCAGTGTGCACGCTTGACTTGAGGAGGTAGCACGCGCACAAGCGTCGCAAGACCAACCCCTGGACTCTGGATCACGTAGTACGTGCTGTTTGTGGCCGATGCCATCCGTTCGCGTGACAACCCTCATCCCATTGGATGATAGAAAATCAGTTTGTTTGTTTTTTCTCGTCCAGAAACGCGGAGAGATTGCTTTTGGCTGCATGGAACAAATAGAATGCGTCTGCGGCGAGATTTTCCCCAGGCAGACGCACGTGGTGTAGGGATCTTGTTGGGTTACGACATAACTTTAGCTCCAGGGAAAAACCCTCCTCCACACAACACAGGGCAAAGGGTGGTATATTTTCGAGTGTGCTTCGAGTGAGGCCCCGCACGCAAGGTGGACTGCCTGCCAATTTACTAAATTCGTATGTAGATCCGGCACAGATTCTGCTGCAGTTGTAGGTGGTGGAATGTATGCATGTGGTCCGAATGCTGCTGCATTTGTAGCTGTCGAATGTGTTATGATCCGAATGCTGTCCTTGTTGAGCAGCCGTCATGGGGGAGGGTGTTCTTTGTGTGAAGGCCTTTGCACGCGTATTGCTGAGGGGAGCGAGCGGCCGGTTTTTGAGGCGTTCTTGCTTTGTTGAGGTGTTCCATGCGGTGTGCCGTGATTCTTACCCCCAAGTCCGGCAGGCCGCCAGGCTCTTTCACTCCGTTTGAACAAATGTTTTGGGCGCATTGCCGTCAAGTTCGTCGTGTTTTGTCCCCAACAACCCCGCCCCACCTCTCCGTGGCTGTCGCCTAGAGTATAAACCAGGATGTTATCTCTTTCACGATGTGAGCATCATGTTTTTTGTTCGTGATGCCCGCAGTGAAGAGCGAAGAATGCTCACGTTAACAGAGAGGGGGCTAGATTGCCGTGATCACAGGGTCGAGTGATCGAGTTGGAGCTCGCCGCATGATATTTTGCACGGAGCGCGCGCGTAGGTTATAGTGCGACCTCAGAAACTCCCAACGATTTGAGCCCCCCGCTCCCCCCCCCCCCAA